ACGTAAACTTCATTGCGACACTCCCCACACAACTTAACAAAACGGTGTTGTTTTGGGCAGGGTGGGGAACACGATATAACGATTGATAACTAAATAACATAAGCTAAAGGACTAATAAATAAAATAGAACTAAATATGTTATTAACGGGACTCAAACCCTAATATGCCAGCAAGAGGGGGAAAGCTCAGACCATTGGACCAGAAGGGGTTTGGTGAGCCAAGGGGTGATTTCAAAGGGTAGGGAAGGGTGGCTATTTATATTGTTAAAGAAGGATGTATAGATGACTAACAAATGAACGGCACCGGGCAACCTTTATTCTTGGTCACACACGTGTTCCCCTACTACTTTAATTTGCTTTCAATGCACTCCCATATATGCATAAATGGATCTTCCTGCCCTTTAGTATACAAGATCTTGAGTGGTTTGATAGTTTGAAATTTATGTTGTTAAGTGGGAGATTGTAACCTTGTGGGTTACCCTTTTAAGAATCGACACATTCTCAATAAAATTAGTACCATTCCATACATCGCACATACAAAATATTTATTTTCCCTCTCCCTATCAAATTTCAAACACTACAACTAATTGAATGAAAATATAATGGGAAATATTCATTTAGAATTTTAATGAGACAAAATTCACATGTAAGCAACAATATAGAATTTTAGTCTAGCGAGCAAATAACCTTGTGTGTTTGAACACATTCACAAATCACAATCGACGTTTTAACGCTATGCTTCCATCATTTACGTACATTAGCATATACTCCATATTTTTTTTGTCAATCATATTTGTGCCATGTAAGATGAAAAAGCATATTCTCCATGAAATGATAGAAATTTTATTATTTTCTTAATATCATGTTGATCAGGCTTATTCAGGCTGGGGTTTATCTCCCATTGAAAGGGACAAGTTTAAAATTGTGTATATATGTGAGGCCACTCATCGTTAATGCGAATTGAAGACGCATGGCGGCTATGGCTTCTTCGAGCTCTCCCATAATTCTATCAATTTTATTCACTTGCTTAACCTTTTCGCCGCCGGTGGGTTCCGTTTCCTTTCAAGATCAGTTCTACAAATGCATTTCTCTATATTCCGATACCTCCATTCCATTCTCCACAGCTTTCTTCTCCCCCACTACAAATGCTTCATCGTTCAACTCCGTTCTCCAATCCACCGCCCAGAATCTCCGTTTCCTGGTTCCCTCCGCGCCCAAGCCGCTGCTCATCTTCACCCCGCTGATTGAATCCCACGTTCAGGCCGCCGTCATTTGCGCTAAAGAAGCCGGCGTTCAGCTCAGAGTCCGCAGCGGCGGCCATGACTACGAAGGGATTTCCTACACCTCGGACATGGAATCTCCGGCGCCCTTTGTCGTGATTGATTTGGCTAAGCTACGGGGAATTAAGGTTGATGTTGAAGATAACAGTGCTTGGGTGCAGGCTGGGGCCACCAACGGAGAGGTTTATTACAGAATTGCGGAAAAAAGCAAGATTCTTGGTTTTCCGGCGGGGTTTTGCACCAGCTTAGGAATCGGAGGGCACATAACCGGAGGCGCGTATGGTCCGTTGGTGAGAAAGTACGGTCTCGGAGCGGACAACGTTGTGGATGCACGTATCGTTGACGCCACGGGGAGGGTTCTAGACAGAGCCGCAATGGGAGAAGACCTGTTCTGGGCAATCAGCGGCGGCGGCGGTGGAAGCTTCGGAATTCTACTCTCCTGGAAAATCAAGCTAGTTCCGGTTCCGTCGACGGTGACGGTTTTCAGAGTCCCGAGGACATTAGAGCAAAACGCAACTAAATTACTCTACAAATGGCAGAAAATCGCCGATAAAATCGACGAGGATCTTCTCATCGAAGTCACCCTCACCGCCGTGAATTCAACCTCCGTCAATGGCAAAAGAACCATAGAAACGGCATACAGAGCCCTGTTTCTCGGGCAAACCGATAGGCTACTCAAAATTATGAATCACAGCTTCCCTGAACTAGGATTGACCCGAAAAGACTGCTCCGAAATGAGCTGGATAGAATCGGTGATTTACCTGACCGGAAACCCAAGAACCACCCCGCCGGAGTTTCTCATCCAAGGGAAACTACTATCCGAGAAGACAAATTTCAAGGCCAAATCAGATTTCCTGAGAAAGCCCATTCCAGAGAGCGGCCTCCGGGGGCTCTGGAAGATCTTCCTGGAAGACGACTCGCCGCTGATGATCCTGAATCCTTACGGAGGAATAATGGCGAAGATACCGGAATCCGCCACCCCATTCCCTCACCGGAAAGGGGTGATATGCAAAATCCAGTACCTGACGAGCTGGCAAACAGAGGGGGAGGAGAAGAAACACTTGGATTGGATAAGGCGGCTGTACGATTACATGGGCACTTATGTTTCCAAGTCCCCCAGAGAAGCTTATGTGAACTACAGGGATCTAGACCTCGGAATGAACAACAATGGCGGAAACACGAGCTTCTCAGAGGCTAGTGTTTGGGGTAAAAAGTATTTCAAGAAAAATTTTGAGAGGCTTGTTGTTGTGAAGACGAGGGTTGACCCTGATAACTTCTTCTGGCATGAACAGAGCATCCCTGTTCTTTCCTAATTATGTATTTATGTTAACTACAAACATATAATATGATTGTCGCTTTAGACTAGGTTTCACAATACAAATATAGTATGCCTATTTAGGCAAATTATACTATGAATTATAGCCCACATCACAATGTGGATAATGGATAAATGTTCATTTTTACACCATTAATGCAACAATACAAAAGTTTTCTACTGTGTTACTGTTTACACCAATAGATTTTATCTCCCAATGAAAGGGACATATTTCGAATTGTGAAACATTTCATTATTTCACAATAAAAGGAACATATTTATAATTGTCCGACTAAACTTTACATTGTGTTTCATATGAAACATTTTATCCTCAACATCAGCCTTAATTAATTCCCCGGAGCTTAGCCAATTCAATCACGACAAAGGGCGTCGGAGATTCCATGTCCGACGACGACGTGTAGAATAAGCCTTCCAAGTCATGGCCGCCGCTATTATAAATCATCTTATCTGCCTTGTTACAAAAAACAGAGTCTCTTTCCTTATTAAGACATAGATTGTGAATGTCTTTAAACTTTAAACAAACAAGGCTACTGCTAGCAAAGACTAAAAATTCTATATTGTTGAAGATTTTGTGCACAGTGGAGAACTTAGGACTAATAATACTATTTGTAAGTTACTTGTTTCAACAACTTTTGAGTGAGATTTGAGAAACATATGATTAATCTAATTTAAGTTGGGATATATCTAATATATATTTAAAAAATTTATATTGTTGGTTACCTGTCATTTTAGTGGTCCATTAAAATTTTAAAGGATTTTTTTAATATATTTAATTATGTAGTACATTTATTGCTGTTTAATATAAATTTTATGAATGACTGTCACACTTCATAACACAATAGTTATATCATGGACCAGAGCGGATGTAGTAATATGCGCACAAACACATTCATATTTTTTTTCAACTTAAAATTATTTTTATCTTTCTTTCTCTCTCTCTATCTTTTTTTTTTTTTCAAATTGCATACTTTTTTTGTTTGATGATTCAATTGTATAATGTATAAAAGTACAGTGACCTATTTGATATTTTATTTTATTCTACATGTGCAAGTGCCTAATTGAGTATAACCAGTTCGAGAGTTTAACATAAATCCGACCTTAGCTCAGTTGGTAGAGCGGAGGACTGTAGTGTGTTCTGTAATCCTTATGTCGCTGGTTCGAATCCGGCAGGTCGGATTTTCGTTTTCCTCTTTGTCTATATTTTCGTTCATCCTTAAACAAAATTCGCCGTTGCCGGGGATCGAACCCGGGTCACCCGCGTGACAGGCGGGAATACTCACCACTATACTACAACGACATTTGCTTTGGGTCCTAAAATTAAAACTTTCTATAAGCGATATCACTGTACAATCACATCCAGCATCATTAAGATATTAACCTGACCCACACAAATGATACTGGGTGGCATGGTGATATGGCGACACGAAACCTAATACACCTATCATATTTATACCATATAGTTGTATGAAAAAAAAAAATCATAAAGTTGATTAATGTTGTAATACAAACTAGTATTTTCACCCGTGCGTTACATGGAAGAGATTTGTTATAATATTTTAAAAATATTTGAATCGATATATAATTGTATAAATTATAACATTGAATATTATATAGTGCAATTGAAGAATTGAGTTGGATCGATTATATTTTCTGATGTTATCATTATTTGAATTCGAGCAAATAGTTATTCAATTAGTAGCTAACGTGTAAATATACGCATTCGGTGCTGAAACTTTAGAGAGTTTATATATCAGTGTTTAAAATTTGTATTAATTGGGTTAATTAGCTCGTTGGTCTTTAATAAATATAAAAGATTACTAGGATTGAAACGATTTTATCACAACTATTCGACCACTTTTTTGTGGTTGAAACAATTGGTTGCATATGGTGCTAATAGTTATGCTGTGCAACTGAATGCACCATGCGCATGGTGCATACGATGCAAAACGACGTCGTTTTGACTAAAAACGTGTGTCCCACTTAAAAAAAAAAATCAGGTTCGATTCTCGGCAATAGCATTATTGTGGATGATAGTGTTAATTGCCACGTAAGAGGCAAATAAACTATAGCAAGACCAATTAAAGCAAATAAACGTCTTTTATTGATCAATGTGAAGGCCCTAAGTACAATCTAAATGGCTGTTCCGAGTGCCGACTGACTGCGGTCGAGATGCTCTTATAACAACCTATCGATCGTCCAAAAGTCCCCCACACTGTTGTTATCGCGGGTATTTATAGCCGCGAAGCCGGAGACATAAATCCGGCCGTTCGGCATGTCGCCCACGTAGCAACCACGTGTCGCCCTCCCGAGTGCCCTGCCTGTCAGCACGTAGCGTTGCCACGTGTCTCTTCCAGCTTCCTGGCCTAAGGGCTACCGCTCGGTGGTCGACGACGCCGGTCGGGTGATGCCCGATCGGGAACCGACCGGGTTCTTCTAAGAAATCCGACCTGTAACCTGCACAAATAAGAACAAAAGGACGAAGGCATGTCGGTCGGGGTATTCCCTACCAAGAGCCCCCCAGCCCGTGCCTTTTTTATCGTCCGGGAAAAATTGGGACGAGATGAAGAAACCCAACCATCCTCCGCCAAACCGACCGGCCAGCTGTCATTCCCTTCACGCCACGTGTCGATGACTGCCGGCCTCTGCGACCGCAACGGTCACCTCGGAGTCAGGAGCGGTCGCGTCACGCAAGTGGATTGGTTTCCCGCCTAAATGCTCTCCTATAAATAGGCCTTTGGGACCCTCATTTAAACTTTCCCCAATCTTCCTGAATCGATCGGTACCCTCAGAGCGTCCCGAGCGAAGCATTTCAGCAGATCGGTCAAGCAAGTAGCTTTCAAGTCTCTGCAACCGGTAAGTTTTCTGATCCTTAGCTTCTGTTTCCTGCTTTAAGCTTTCGCATAGCCAATTGTAGGCTAGAACTGACCTAGACCTAAACATCCTGAGTCCCAAACTAACCCGACCAGCCTTTAGGTAGACAAAATGTCAGACTCAGACAACCAGAATGTGTCAGTCGCGGACTATGACGATGAGGTCGAACAGATCAGCGAAGAGCTGGACATAATGTCCTACTCCCCGGAGGTCGGTCAACGATCACAAAAAGCCCCCGAGCGATCCCCTGAGCAAGAAAGGTCGTCGAGCTCGTCTGGGACGTCAGGGTCCAGCTCGAGTGGATCTGGGAGCTCGAGCAGTGAGAGCGGGGAGACGTCCACAAGCGGACGAAATCTCCCGACCGAAGGCGTTCGGGACACGCCAACTAGGGTAATTAGGGATTACCCTCAAGCCGAGCCTCAAGAAGATGATCAAGAAAACGCCGCGGAGCTGGTCGAGGAAGACCCGGCCGAACCGGCAATACCGGCCGCAGGCGGATTCGAGTTCTTGAACAGCGAGAACGTCGAACGTCAGATGAGTAAACTGACGAAAGGAGAGGCAGCCAAAATCGCTGCAACACTCAGCGGTCGGGTTGAGTTCGACACTAGTCGCCGGCTCGGGAACGTCATCGAGCGGCATCGGGGAAAGTGGATCGGGATGCACTACGATTCACTGACGGCCCCGATCACTTTCCCCTTCACCAGCCTCCTAACCGCATTCCTGGGATACTACCAAGTCGTCCCAGCGCAAGTTTGCCCGAACGCGCACATGATGATTACCTGCTTCCCTCAGATATGCGCTCGGCACGACGTGGCCTGCACAATGGAGCTGTTCAACTTTGTGTACCAGGTGAAGGTCCTCTCAGCCTCATATGGGGGCGGGTTCCTAATGACCCAATCCCGAGCCGAGATGCGCTCGATTGAGGGTCTGCCCGGGAATAACCGGGGATGGAAGAACAGGATCTTCTCGGTCAAGTATGACCCGTGGATCCTCTCGGTCGAGAGGACTTGGAGCAGCCATTTCCGGAAACAAGCTACCCCGGTCGAGACAAAAGCCTTCCGAGACGCGGTCACAAAGATCTCGGGCGAGATCTACGAATACAAGATCTTCCGGACGGCTGAGAGTTATGAGGCAGCCCAATTTCCCGCCCCGATCTACAACCTGACCGAGAAGTACAAGCCCGAGCCGATGGGCGTAACGATTGCAAGGGCGCCCGCTCGGGTCAAGCGGAAGGACAAAGGTCTAACACTAACCAATCCTCCCCGACCCTAACACCCCGAACGCTCTTTATTCCCGGCCTAACCTACTTGTTTTTGCAGGAATGGCCGCAAGAGAACTCGACGACGAAGGCGCGAAGTTGCCCCCCGGGCAAAGATATCGCTCGGGAAGAACAAGACCCCGACCGGGTCGTCGGGAGGGGAACAGATACCAACTGCCCGACCCCTGGGCTCGACCACCACCATCGTCAACCTCGAAGGTGGCGTGGTTGATACATCCGACACCCTGATCACTCGGGTGGGTACCCGCAAGGGTAAAGAGAAGGCGGTCGAGAAGGGTGCTGGAGACACCGCCCCGTTGAAAAGCCAGAGGAGGCAAAACAGCCCCGAGGTCGGGGCAGTTGCAGTCGACGCCTCCCTCCTGACGCGGGTCAGCAACCTCATGCCGCTCCCGACCGAGGTGTCGAAGATGACCCCGACCCAACTGGCCGAGAAGCTGAGCCGCGACCTGGTCGAGGTACGATAAAGTTGTCAATCTTGCTTTAATTTCTTAACTGCTTCTGCTCGGGCTAACTCGCTCGATTTTGCAGGCTTCCCAAGTGGGCCTTGCTCTTCAACGCCAAGCGTTATTGGCCAATGAGGCCACGACGTTCAAGAAGGTCGCCGAGCGGCGGTTAAAGGAAGTCGGCGATCTATCGGCCGAGCTCAAGAAAGCTAAGGCGGACCGGGCTTTGGCGGACAAGGTGGTGCAGAAAGCGCTCAAGGAAACCGCCGACCTGAAGGCCCGAATGGAAGACCCGGCCGAGATGGCCAACCTTTTCTTCCGAGACGTCGAGACCGGCATCAAGTTCGTCCGGGAAATGCGGAAGAACTTGATCGGGGACGAGCTGATGTGGGAATTCGGCCGCTGGGCTTTCAAGGCCGGGCAGCGGAAGATGAGAGAGAAGACACAGAAGAATATGGAGGAGGTGCTCGAGGGCGAAGACCTCCGACTCGTCCTGACAACTCTCCCGTCCGCTGTCCCCGACCCCGGTGAGGCCCCGTTCGGCCGCGAGGAGGGAATGGTTGCTGAGCCAAGCGGAGCTGCTGCTGCCACACCGAGCAACGTGGAGCCTACGAAGAAGTAGATTTAGTTTCTTCTTCATTTTTTTGTAAGTGAACTCGATCGGGAGCCCGATCCCGAGTTGTACCGGGCACTCTTGAATTTATAAAACTCGTTTTTTGTCCAACTTGTGCGGCTCGTACTTATTGCATTTTTATTTTTGATTGCGTACATGCCGATCGTTTAATGCCCAACCTCGCGGCCTTATGGCCTGGTCGTGAACCTTTCGACCGAGACATCGACCTTCCAATGGCCTTCCCGCTCGAGGTTTACCCGACCTTTTGGCCTTGTCGATTTTTCGAAAACTGTTTGGCCTTTTCGCTCGGGGTGTGCCCGATCATTAGGCTTAGAGTACTTCCTTCATCCCAGCCCCCACACTATTGTGCGCTCGAGGCACGAGTGGGTGCAAAAGTGGATAGAAGTTGGACGGATCGGGGAATTCTGCTGTAGCTCTGGCTTTCCCGATCGGTGGCGTGACCCTAATGTTCGCCGAAGAGGAGCGTATTTAACCGGTCGATGTATTCGCCCGGTTAAGTTAAGATCGGCTATTAGAGCCAAGACATTGACGGCTATTAGATCCTGATTGCACACCCCTATCGATAAGAATCGAGGGAGAGGTGTTCATAGAGCGTAGAGCCCCTCTTCTATGTTGGTGTTGAGCCTCGATCGAGTAAGTTACGAGCGAGGTTAGGATTACCCTACTTTTAATTAAGGTAATGAAAAAACCGACCGGGCTACCGTGTGCAAACGGTTGAGCAATCACCGATCGTATATACATTGAATTTTCCCGCTCGCAGGCGGTTAAGCAAACATTCAAAATGATAATTTACAAACAAACGACGAACGAAGCCGACTCGTAGGTCGAGCCCCCACTTCGCCTAAAATTACAAAAAATAGGCTAATGCCTAAATATAACGAGGTGCTCAGAATTCCAAGTCCCCTCGATCAGCCGACCGGTTGTCGTCTCCAATCGGTACGTTCCCGGCCGCACTACAGCGCTGATAATGTACGGCCCTTCCCAATTCTGAGCTAGCTTCCCACCTTCCAAAGGTTGACTGGCTTCCCGTCGGCGTAGGACGTAATCTCCGACCTGAAAGTACCGAGGGTTGACCCGGACATCCTTTGAACTCTTGACTCTCTTCTGATACTCGGTCATACGCCGAGCGGCTAACTCTCTCTTCTCCTCGACCCCGTCGAGATCCACGACCATTGAGTGTTCGTTCTCCTCTGCATTGTAAGTTCGTTCTCGGGCGGTCGGGATCCACGCCTCGATCGGGAGTCGGGCTTCAGCTCCAAAGACAAGGGCAAACGGTGTCTCCAAAGTCGCTTCTCTCGGGGTCGTCCGATAAGTCCACAAAACATAGGACAACTCATCGGCCCAACTACGACCAGCCGAGTGTAGCTTCTTCTTCAGACCTTCCAGTATTGTCCGATTGGCATTCTCCACTTGTCCGTTTCCCTGCGGGTAAGCCACCGACGACCGAACGTGGGTCGTCCTAATCGTGGCCAAAAAATTCTGAAAATATTGGCTTGCGAATTGGCGGCCGTTGTCGCTGATGAGATGCACGAGCACACCAAAGCGGGAAATCACATTGCGCCATAAGAACCGAGTACATTGTTGAGAGGTGATCGTGGCTAACGGCTCGGCCTCGATCCACTTGTAAAAGTAATCAATGGCGACAATAACAAACTTTCTTCGGCCGGCAAGTTGAGGAAATGGTCCCAAAATATCCACCCCCCACCTTGCGAAGGGAATTGCATACGTGACCGGCTGGTAGAAGGTGGCCGGTCGTCCGGGCATCCGGGCAAATAACTGGCACGTCTCACATTCCCGAGCGATCTTCTCACAGTCCAGCTGGAGGGACGGCCAATAATATCCGATCAATATGATTCGACGAGCTAACGATCGTCCTCCTTGATGTGACGAACAAATGCCCGAGTGCAATTCCTTCATAACAAGATCGGCCTCAAATGTGGTCAAGCAACGCATAAGAGGGCCTCCATACGATCGCCTATAGAGACGACCATCCAAGATTGGAACCTCGGGGCTCTAAGCTTGGCCTTCCGGGCACGCTGGGGGTCGTCCGGGAGCCGACCGTGCTCAAGGAATTCCTGTATATATAGTTATGAATTTTTGGATATATAGTTCATTCATTGTGGATATTTAGTTCAATCATTGTGGATATTTAGTTCATTTATTGTGGATATTTAGTTCATTCATTGTGGATTTTTACTTCATTCATTCACTGTGGATATATAGTTAT